GAGAGAGAGAGAGAGAGAGAGAGAGAGAGAGAGAGAGAGAGAGAGAGAGAGAGAGAGAGAGGTGCACAGTCTGGATACTGCCATGAGGTAGGTATGGCCTAATTCATCCCCTGTCTGTAAACCTTCTGTAACCTGTTTGTTTGTTTGTCTTTTCCGGATTTTTCCGGACGTCCCACTGTGCCCGGGTTCGATGTAACCATGGTCGACTCCCTCCGACATGCTTGGCGCACAGCTGAGGCTTCAAGTACACCCTCCTCGAAACAGACCCCCAATCAGGACGGGGAGAAGGCATACAGGAAGGTGGCTGTAGTTACAACTGTCCAGGTCTGACCAGGACATGAAGAAGACAAGAGTACGAGAGATGGGAGTGACCCCCAAGGACACAGTCGCCTCTCTGCTTGTCCAGCCTCTGAAGGATCGTCGTCGGGTGAGGCGAGTCAGGGCTGAGGCGGACAGGTGGGAAGTGTAAGAGAGATGGGAGTGACCCCCAAAGTGCAGTCGCCTGTCCGCTTGTCCCAGCCTACAAAGGATCGTCGTCCGGCAATGTGAGTCAGGGCTGAGGCAGACAGGTAGGAAGTGTAAGAAAGATGGGAGTGACCCCAAGAGCACACTCGCCTGTCTGCTTGTCCCAGTCTATGAAGGATCTCGTCGGGTAAGGTGAGTCTCGGCCGAGGCGGACACGTGGTCTGAGTCGTGGCTGAGGTAAGGAGAACCAACGATTGGCTGAGAAGGCCAGGAGGTGGATAATAGGAAGTGACACACAGGAGTTAAACCACCAGGACTTCCTGAAGTCGTGCCCGTTAACAAGCCACAATTCTCGGAAACGTACCGGCCACTGCAGGAGCGCCCAAATTCATCCAACTAGAAACGTTTCTAATCTATTCTTTTCCACGGCTGATAGCTGGGCCAAGTACTGGTGGTTTAATTGGGGAAGAACAACTGACGAGACTGCAGTGTCCATAGCTGACGAATCAGACTGCTGAGCAGGCAGACAGGCTGCAGTTCCCATAGCCGAGGAATCAGACTGTGGAGCGCGCAGCGAGTGGGCTGTGAATAGGCGCAACTGCATCCCATCTGCGAAGGAAGAGGAGGAAGGACAAGGGAGTGGGCTGTGAATAGGTGGTTAGAGAAGCGGAGGAAGAGGAGGAAGGACAAGGGACAACTTGAGGGAAGAGGCGCAACCGCATCTCTTCTGAGAAGTCTTGAAGGCATTAAGAAATGAGGAGTCAGCATATCAAGAGCAAAAAAGGTAATAGCCTGCGGAAAGGGGCACCTGTCAACTGGTACCTTGCTACTCATCGTCGGAGACAGCAATTTCAGGGCAGTCAGTCCACCTTCTCAATCCTACCTGCCTATCCTTCCCACCCATTTTCCTTCTCCTCGACCCGTCCACACGGAGTCAAAGAACTGGGGAACTTCAGGGGTGAACTGTGATTTCGAACAAAGACAAGAATACCATCGCCGCTTAGATTCATACTTGCACAAATCGCAAACGTAAATAATAAAGTTGTGAATAAAAAGGGGAAGAACTAGAGGAGACTAGAATCTCTGCTTTGTTTTGGGGGAATACCTTTCTCGGCCATTTGGCGAAGTAAGATCAAGTGCACCGTATCTGGTCTGATCAGTTTAACATCTGATCCGTGGTCCATCGGACCACCAAAAAAAAAAAAAAAAAAAAAAAAAAATGCTATGTTTTGGGGGGACAATGAGACGTAATCTGGCCTCAAAGTTGAATCAGCCAACCCACCCCACAATATCTGCTAATGGCTCCCTCGACCGCGGCACACGTGACTATATGGAAATTTACACGGTGAAACCACCAGTACGTTTCCCGGCCATTTTTCCAAAGTTGCGGGTGGCATGCTGCTGCAACTTTTGGGGCTNACGGTGAAACCACCAGTACGTTTCCCGGCCATTTTTCCAAAGTTGCGGGTGGCATGCTGCTGCAACTTTTGGGGCTCAGCCGCCGGAGCAAAATGGCTGGTGGCACTAGCACAAAAAAGATAATATCACATTACAAGCCCAAGGATATCATTTTGCAAGCCCCCAAGGCCAGTAGCAGCAGACAGAACATGCAGTCAGAATCAAAAACCAACCCCTGGTGGTGGGGGTTGGCCCCACCCGGCTGCCTTGAAGATGGGCTGCTAAAGAACTGCCAGAAGCTCCGGAACTGCACGCCATTGCAATGGGGAAAAAGCAGGCAAATGGGTGGGGGTGGCCCCACCCATTCTGATCCTCTACTCTATGAAAAGGAGTACGATTGGTTCTGTCGATAAGAAAGAAGGCAGGTAAATGGGAAATTGGGCTAGCTGATGCACCTATGAAGACCAGTTCTTGGGGTTGTCACAGTCAAAAGCCTAGGATGGAATCACACGTTCGGCCTGGGTATCATGGCTGACAGGCAAAAGAAATGATTTTAGAACCTGAAAAATGACTTCTGTACAAATTATAAGCCGGGAGGACAGGCAATAATTTCATTGTGACCGGGTCTGACAAGGATTGGCAGTGCTTTTTCGTTTCCCGAAAAGGGTCCGTCGGACAAGGACTGCCACTCGGAGGGCATACTCACACTAGCACCTTTTTTACCTATTACCAGGCGGAATTGCGGTGCCACTCTGAGGACATACTCACACTAAGTCTTGCACCCTTTTTACCTATTACCCTAATACCCACTGGAATCAGGGTCAGATGCAGACACGCACAACATAAAATTAATGCGCTCAGATACATTTAAGAAAGTACGAGTGTGAGTACGCCCTGAGACTTGTGTGTGCTTTTTGACTCCAC